ATCAACTAAACAATGTTTTACAGATTGTACACCTGGATGCGTTTGTGTAAATGGTACAGTTATTGATCTAGGTCAAAATTCGAAATGTGTTAAACCGGAGTCATGTACATGCTACTATAGTAATGCATACTACAAATCAGGACACAAAGTTTCTATTGATTGCAACGAGTGGTACACACATTAACTTGTAATTTAATTTTTGTACATAACTTTAATTTTATTTTCAGCCAATGTAAATATGGTCGATGGTCATGTACTAATCATTCTTGTCCAAGAACTTGTAGTGTAATTGGAAATGGTCATATTTCAACATTCGATGGAAAACAATATTCATTATTAAGCACTTGCGAACATACGTTAGTTGAAGTATGTTAATAATTATAGATTGATGTATATGATAATAATGCTAACCTATTTACAGCAGTCCGATAACAAACAATTAACGAAACATTTGAGGATAGCTTACATGAATCTTGGCAATATTGATAAGAATCAGCTAACTATAGAGATAAATAAAACAATAGTGGTAATCAAAAGCCACACAGTAATCATAAACGGAATAACAAGATCTACTTTACCATTTCAAAACGATGATTTACTTATTCGTCAATTAACATTGATATCAATTCAAGGTATATAAAACGTAATTTCAGATGCATTTAAATGTTATCAGTACGATGTTAAAAATTTACTAGACAGTTAATGCTATTCGTGAAAATTACGTTCGCATAAAACAAAACGTCATCAAGACATGTACAGCTGTAGCTATAAAATAACTTTTATTTGCTGTTGTTTGAGATTGTATGCTAAAGGATAGGAGAAACAATATTCTAAAATGTTGATACTAGTCGATTTCAAAGAACGATAAACTTTTGTATTTTTTATAACTTTTTAGCGAAAAACAGTAGAGACTTGCAGTTTTTCGGCATTCGATAAACAAGACTTGGATACATGTTTTCGTATAAAAGAACTTTGAAATTTTGTGTTAAGGCGAGATTTATCTAAAGGAAAAACAATTCACCATTCAAAAACTCAAAATCTCGAACATGACATTTAGAACAGGATGAAATCACCTCAGTGTTCTGTACAAAGTGAAAATCAGTTACTCTCCGTTCACCGTAGTTTGGTCGAAGCACCGAATTTTCTCAGAGTCACAGGACTGGTCTGGGATGACTGAATAGGCTCTCTGGAAATCTGTCTAAGTATCAGATTACTTTGTTGCTTGTCTTAAGGACAAAACTGACTTCCAAAGAACCCATTTCTAGTTTTCGAATGGTGAATTGTTTTTCCTTTAGATAAACCTCGCCTTAATAAAAGATTTCAAAGTTCTTTTATACGAAAACATGTATCCAAGTCTTGTTTATCGAATGCCGAAAATTGCAAGTCTCTATTGTTTTTCGCTCAAAAGTTATAAAAAATACAAAAGTTTATCGTGAAGTTGATACTATTTAGTCTTTTGCATTAAAGAATATATGTAGATGACAACCACAGTCCTTATAATAAGAAACAGTGAAAAAAAGTCTTTCATTATATAATGTTCTTTTCTGCTTTAGACCTGTATGGGACTGTAATTGTTCATTTTGATGGTTTACGAGTATATATTACTTTGCAACCTAGTTTTGTTAATCAAGTTAGAGGTTTATGTGGAACTTACAATTTTATTACAAATGATGTAAGTTATTTCAAATGAATGTTTAGTAAATACTTGTTTCAATTTTATTACAGGAATTTTTAACTCTGAACGGGTTGACTGAAACAAATATTGAGACATTTGCTAATGCTTACAAAACCTTCGGTGACTGTTCTGTTCCAGATCAAATAAATCCCTGTTTAAATTCTCCGGCTGTAAGTTATTACATCTTAAACTGTTCGTGTTAAAACAACTTACTATCTTATTTTAGAATGAGTACAGTGCTCGAGACATATGTTCTAAGGCTTTGAAAGATGCTATATTTTCTTCATGTCTGACAGCAGTTGATCCAACTTTTTTTATTGAATCTTGTATCAAAGATCTCTGTGTCGATTTATCAGCAAATTATCAAGACCAAATTAAGTGTTCTATGGTAGCTGCATATGCTCATGAATGTGCATTAAAAAGCATCATTGTCGATTGGATGAATGTAGACAATTTAGCCTCTTCCTGTCAAAATATAAATTACGGAAAATGTCCGAGTACAGTTCCATATTCCGAGTGTGTACCAAGTTGTATGAGTTCATGTAGTGATATCTCATTGCAAACTATAAGTGTGTGTCATAAACAGTGTTTGCCAGGTAATGGTTGAAAATTGATTATTAAGCACATTAGAACTATAAAACATACTGCTTTTAGGGTGCCGATGTCCAAAAGATGAATATTTCGATCAACAAGCAAAAGTGTGTCGTGTCAAACACGAATGTCCATGTTACGATCAAACCACAGAGAAGTATATCCTACCGTCGCGCTCTGTACAAACCCCAATATCTAATTGCTCGTGTACTCATGGATCTTTATTGTGCACAAATCTATTCAATGACAAATGTCCTCCAACGCAAATATATTCTACAGATATTAGCACTTGCCCAAAGACATGTGTTAATCGTCGAAATTATGTTAATTGTAATGTAACTAAATTAGGATGCGGTTGTCCTAGTGAGTATATACTGTCTCAAGATCAAATAACATGTATTAGGGAGGAACAATGCCCATGTGTGTTTGGATTGACTAATTATATGAATGGTGAAGTGATTCTTCAAGGTTGTAATAACTGCACATGTCAAGCTGGAGAATGGATTTGTCAGAATACTGACTCATGTGACAAGACTTGTACTGTATTTGGTGATTCTCATTATATAACATTTGATGGACTAAAATATTCGTATCCTGGACAATGTCAGTATTATTTGGTTAAAGAACAAACAAATTTGTTTTCAATAGTTATTCAAGATATACCGTGCGGAAAAAGTGGCTATTCTTGCTCAAAAAATATCATTGTGGATTATAAAGGTATTAATAAGACGCCTATTGCTTAATCCCGGGTTACTTTTTAGATAAACTGTGAAGGATGTACTAGTTTGACTGTTGATTGGGAGCTTAAAAAGGTGGGTGAGAATGACTAGGGGTAACTTCTAACCTGATTTTTTTTGAGATTGTTTCTCCTCTAGCAAGATATTTGTTGAAAATATAAAACTACTACTTTATAAAGTAAACGGCTGAATCGCATAACTCTGCTACCGGGGTGTGAGTGCACTACCGTTTCTACTCTTTTTGTTTATGTTACAATATTTAAAAGAAACACTGTAGATATCTGTGAGACGTCGTGTTTTGTAGCTAAAAGTGTGGTTTTCAAAATCACCTTGGGATCAACTCGATTTGCTCAGTCATTACAATGCAGTGAACTAAAAATGAAAATCTATTTTTTTCGGAGATGCTGATATTTCGATTACGGCGCAAACACGACTCGGTGAGCCAGGTTGTTTCCAGGGTAAACTTTGAAAAGTACACTTTTAGCTACAAAATAAGACGGCTCACAAATTTTTACAATGTACATTTCAAAAACTGTAACATAAACAAAAAAGAGTAACAAGGGTAATGCATTCATACTCTAGTAGCACGATTCAGTCTTAAGGCTCTGAAACAAACTTATAAAAGATCTGAATGAATTTTCTCTCTCTTGCGTCGTTGAACGCTAGGCTACGTTCCTGCTGTTGACAACGTGAGATAATTGATAACTGTATATCATTATCGATAGTCTCACAATATTGGTAAAAGAAATTTGTGCTGCTCATACTCACATCGTACAGTTCGAAAAAAATTTACGTCTCACATACGCAGACGAAAAACACTATTGACGCAAATGGAGCTTATCGTGTTTTGTTTAAGACCCTCACCCCAGAAATGGTAATTTTCGGCCAAAAAATCGATTTTGAGATACGCACATTGAAAGATAGCCTGAAGTGTCGATTTTCAGAATCTGTATCGATTTTGGTTATAAAAGTGGTTTTTCGCAGATTTTTGGCAAGTTTCCTAGGAGCCTCGACAAACCGGGTCTTCAAATAAGAGTTTTTTCTTGGATTCTTCTGCAATTAAAATTTTTCTAAACACACAGATTTGTAGAGCAAACTTTTCTGATC